GAAGACCACAGAAACTGGTTCATCTTGCATAGGAATATCAGAGAACTGACTTTGCCATGCAGAGGAAGTTCAGAGAACTTGCTGCAGCATTACTCTTGCACTGCAGTTGCACCACTCAACAGGCTGCATGGAATCCATGCAGCCCATGCATCACCCCCACCCACACTGGATTTGATGGTGGACCCAACTTTGCCTGATAATTGCCTGATGCCAATGGGGCACACTGGGCTACCAGTGAGGAGTAAGTGGGGGCAGTGCTTTTGGTTAATGCTGCTTCACTGCACCATGGGAGCTTTCTGCTGTGTTGACATCCACTTTGTAGTAATTGAACCTGCAGAGCAACATGGACTTTGGTTGCAGAAATGGCAGTTGCAGCTTAGGAATATAGCAATCAAGGCTGTGGGGATTTGAAGTGGTGATGAGTGTTTTTCTTTTGGAGGGAGAAATCTGACAACCCATCACATGAGTCTATGATTAATGGTTCAATTGCAAAGCCCAAAGCTCAATTCAACACCCTCCACCACCTCTCCCTTGCCTTTCTCACCTGGGGTCAGTGAAACTGGGGGGGTGGGGATAAAGACACAGCTCCCAGTGCCCAAATTCTGTTTTGGAAAGAGGTTTGGAATCAAAACAGAACATCTGTGGTGACAATCACCAGCTGGTGGTTCTTTTAAGATCCCCCCCCCTCCAAAAAAAAACCCAAGTAGTGTCATGTGCACAACCCTTATCAAAAAAAAAACTATGTACACAGCCAAATTATGTATGAGTGTTTTCCAAAAACTATATTTTAGTTTTGAGTACCATCATATGATCCCAAAAAGAATTTTTAGGAATAGCTTGTGAGTCTCAGTATCACAGCTGAAAATTGAGTGGTTGCACAAAACCAATCAAGACTTTGGCTGTGTATATAGAGTTGGCGGAAAATAATTGAACAGTTAGAGGGTCTTTAACAGTTAAAAACCATACCTCTTCTCATTCAAACATGAATGAAGGAGTGTAGTTCAATTGTGAGTAGGAATGGTTTGGGGGAAATGAATAGCTGGGTGAGGATGTTAGATCACACAAACATAACTCTCTCTGATTACTATAACAACAAATTATCACATGTCATCCACCTCAACTACACATGTAGCAGTCTTGCAATGAATTCATTTTTCATTTTTCCTCTTTTTATTTCATATTTTGCTAAAATTGAATAACCAAATCTAGTTTCTGTACATAGGAACTTATCCAAACTTTTGTTGACCAAGTCAATTTGGATTGAGAGATGGTGGCAGTCACCATGACCAATGAGTTTTGAAGGGGTAACAATGGCTATGTATTGCATAAGAAGATATGGTTACCTCTTGATCCTGATAAATTATATGGTTTTTGTGGTGAGTGGGAAAGGCCCAGCTAACTGGAAGATGGGAAATGGAAGAGCAGAAGTAAAGAATTCATCAAGTAGCTGGTGTAACTGGCCAATGTCCAGATTGCCAACAACACAAATCATCACCAACAAATGTTGTACTGTCATAAGTTGAATGGTTCATTTGTGCTCAAACTATTGCTCAGATTCAACTGTACATATTGTAAAGAATGAGAAGTGCTCTGGTATGAGCAGGTATGTGAGCCTGCGAGCTAGAGGTTGAGGTTGATACAGTTAGGAGGAGCTCAACAGAAAATGACAAACCTGTGAACACACAGGTAGGGAGTGATCAAAACGTAAAGCAGCAAAAACAAAAATAAAGATCTGGTTGAGGACCAGCATTAGAGACAGGACACTTAAAACAAGAAAGAGAGAAGTAAAGAATAGAAAAGACTCACTCTGATTCAATTTTGATGAGGAAAGAGAATCAGAGATGATGTCTGGGACAGGCTTATAAGTCTGTTCTGCCTCAATCACAAATGTCTGAGAATACACCTTCTTCACACAATACAGGAACCCAAAATAGCAAAACACAAAAAAAAGGTGAATGACAAAACAAGTGAGAAGATTGAAACTTGAGAGAAACAGAAAAACAAAACTGAAACATTTAGCATCACACAAACTCATCCTGTTACTAGCAGCTGTCTAGTTTCGACTCAGACATGGAGGTTTTGTTTCCTCATTAAACCCCACTGTAGTATATCACATCTCAACACATATTATTCACAATGTTCACATCCTGGAATGTTTCAAAGACATCACTTCAGATGATGAATGTTGGTATGCCATGTTTTCACCAATGAAAAGGGATAACTTTGCTCAAGGCAACCGCATGCTTGACTGAAAGATTTAGAAAGTACCTTGGACATTTATTTTTGACAAACCTTATTCTAAAAAAAAAAAAAAAAAAAATACATAGTCATTTTTCCCATATGGGTTTTTGTAGTTGTAGCACAATTTTTATGGGATGCAAAAAAATAAAAAAATAAAAAAAAAATTCTTATATTCCTCAACTTCAACTTCAACTTCATTTTTTAAATTCTGTTGTTGTTCTTTTGTATGTATGTATGTTTTTTTTTGTGAGCTCTCAAGTTTTCATCAGTAGGATGT